TTTAGGATAGTATATCGGTACAACAACAAAATTGAGAACTAATGTCTCAAATTCCTCTCTATTCACTTAGAGAGCAAGCTAACCATGATTTATCTGCCAATCAACTCTTTATTGGCACATAATGGTTCGATTTAAAATGATTTCGATAGCTACCGTGTAATCATCAATGATTTTCTCATCCAAATATGGATTTCATTTATGCCACCATAATTGGCAAAAATTCTCAAATCATAGTAATGGATATTGGTTGAGGCGTCCCCCAACATCGTCTTTAAGACGAATCCTTTCATCGAATGAGATAAGTAATAGGATGATCGTACGATGCTACTAGCGCTAGTAGACTTTAATTGAATGGTATTCACACCACTTATAAGGGTGTTAATCATTAGAAGCAACATATATATCTCCCCCTCTTATATATATAAATTATAATTGGTTAGCTGTGTACCATAATCATTTTTCACCCATTTAGGGGATTCACGATGCAATCACAATGTGAAATTTGTCCTTCGAGGACATTCGTTTTTATGGCAAAATCTAATGTGCAATGTGTCCTTCTTGGACATTTTCTCTTGCACTCATATGCAACATATGTAATACTTTCAAATTGTCATTTTACCGATAAATGCATCTAGCATTTTACACATTGAAATTGTTGCAAAAGAATTCCCTTTTCTTTTGTGCTTAAATATTTTCATGCACAAATCTAGATGAGACAAAGATCAGTTCATATATTCACGCCGTTATACAAGAACCGGCTTCTTATCTCCCCCTTAACGGCGGGAAAATTGTCTCATTAAAATGGCAATTGACAATGTATGCAATAGAAATATCTCCCATTTGGGGTGCAAAATATTGCATAGCATAAATTATAAATAAACCATGTGATATAGTTGTTATCTAGATGAGAGCAACTACATTTGAGAATCTAACAGGTTCGGTACACCAATGACCAAATTTCAGAATTTGAAAAATTCAGGGACCAAACTGTAAAATTTGAAAATTTAGGGACCAAACTATAAAATTTGAAAACTTCAGGGACAAGACTGAAATTTTAAAACAAATCAGTGAAAACTGAAAATTTTGAAATAGATTCATAATTGCGGATGATGAATGGAACGAGCTGCACATTCTAAAAAACATTTGGACTAAATTGTAAAATTTTCAAATCTAAGGGGGACTAAAATGAAATTGTTGAAAAAATTGAAGGAGTAAACTGTGAATTTCAAAAATTCAGAATATGCATAGGATTTTGAATTTTAATAAGAAAATCAGATCCCTTTTTTTCGTTTGGATTGAAATTTCATCTCATCTCATCTAGACCAATTATAAAAAAAAAATCATATACATACCTCCATATGTATTTGGAATGAAATTTACAACTTTAATTGAATTGGTCAATATCGTGACTCCAAAATCACGCAATTTCTTTTGTTTTTGTGTTGGTGCTTGATAAGGCTTATCAAAATGTTTTATCATAAAATGGATTCATGACCAACATTTTTCATATTTCTCATCTCTCTTCCACTTCTAATGATGAGAGAAAAAATGTAATATAATAAGCACCAAAATATCTATTTGTCTCAAGGACATCTCTTCAAATATTGAATATTTGTTATATCCACTTAATGGAATAACAAAACTTGAACGAGCTTTATAATATTTCAATTTTAGCTCACAACTCGTATTAAAATACGATATGCCCTCATATTCTCTCGATTCGCTACAATGAAAGCAACTTTAGTTCTCATGTTGCTATTTAATGAGCATAAAATATATCCAAAGTATGGATTTTGATGGAGTATTTCAAGTCATATATATTGGAGAATATTCTCTTATATCTCCATAAGTAACTATATTTATGTTACTTTTACTTGTTTGTGTAAGACACATGCCACCAATTTTTATATGTATTTTCATGGCACAACATACTTTGTTTGTGTCT